AGGGAGGGAGGGAGGGAGGGAGGGAGGGAGGGAGGGAGAACCTGAATTGGAGTCTGCCAAATGGGGAGCAATGAGAATCTCCTTACAGTTCTGAAGCAGCCCAACATTTGTGGTGCTCCTGTTTTATTTGTTTATGTTTCCACAAAAAGAAATTATCTTTACCCTAGAGCAAATTTATACTAAGCATATTAGTCCCTGGTAAAATGCATTAATAGAGGACGTGTTGGGGAAATATTAAATTACAGATGCAGGACCAGCTCCACTTTAATCTTAATAATGTTCCCCCCCCAAAAAAATAGTTTCCTTAAGCAGAAAAACTGTCAATAGCTGTGAAGGAAAGAAACAACAAACACTAATGGTCTTTTAAATGTTTCTGAGATGTGATTCTCTCTCTTCAGAAGGGAGACCCTGAGCTCCAGTCCTACAAATACTAATCTGGGCGTAAGCCCCATGGAATAAAATAGGGCTTACATCTGAGCAGACCTGCCTTTTTTCCCTGCCGTCAAGTCACGGCTGACTTATGGCAACCCCATGGGTTTTCAAGGCAAGAGCCATTCAGCGGTGGTTTGCCATTGCCTGCCGCTGCATTGTGACCCTAGATTTCCTTGATGTTTCCCATCCAAATACTAACCAGGCCTACCCCACTTAGCCTCCGAGATCTGACAAAATCAGGCCAGCCTGGGCTATCCCGGTCAGGTCAGACCTGCCCTATACTGCTTCTATTGCCACTGAGGATGCTGCTGTTACAGCCTCCATTGACCTCAACAGAATCTGCATGAAGCTTTCGCAAATGAATAGAGATAGAATAGCAACAAGGCTTGGGGCCCTTTTATGTGGGTGCCAAATGGAATTTAATTATGCTCCGCCCTGTTACAGGACAATAGGCCTGTTTTTTTTTAATTTCTATTTTATTACAGTTATACAATAGACCAACACCAGATATAACACAAAGACAGGCATTTGAGTAGACCTGCTTTCAGAACTGGGCTGCATGGATTTGAAAGCACTTACCTGTGGCAACATGACGTCCCATTCCAAATACAGCATAAATAATAGCAGGGAAAAGAGATCCATATAGGCCAAATACAGGATGCACTGAAGACAGTATAGCAAAGGCAAGCCCTGTGGAACAGATAAGTGGGAATTTTGAAACAATGTAAAGAAATAAGTATACTGTAGCATATTGAACTGTATAATACTGACTTACACTTCATCAGACCATTGATCCTTTTGGTTCAATATTTCTCTAACCATTTTTATCTCTCCCTTCTTTCAAGGAGTGCATCATGGCATACACAGTTCTCCTCCTCCCCATTTTGTCCTCACAATCGGATTGCCAGCCCTGCCACTGCCAATCGCAGGAGCTTTGGGGGGCCAATCCTGGAGAGGGGGAAACACAGACATTGTGATATCATTTCCTGGGGAATCATCCAAAAGTGACATCACAGTCACTGTGGTGACCTAGGAAATACCCCAATCACTATGGTAAACACCACAAAGATTAGGGGAAATTCCTAGAGTATCAAAGACACTGTGATGTCATCCTCCCATTTTTTCTCCCACTGCTCAAATGATTAGGCATGGACAATTGACAGCAGTGAGTTTACCTGCCATGAGCAGGCAAATGTGAGGTGGAAAGAAAGTCACTGGAACATAGCAAAGTGAGGATTTGAATACAAGGCCTCCCACGTCCTGACAGCTACCACACACAGAAATAATATTGTCCTGCCCATCTCTGGTTCCCCAGGTTCTCAGACAGAAAAAGATCTTTCTCAACACCATCTATCTGTCATCTGGTAAACCATTATATAATTATAAGTATGTTATTATTAAGGCACTTAAATGCCTTCATATTCAGCAGCAGTCAGAGCCCATTTTTCCAACTCCCTTGGGAATGGAAGGTGAGTCTAGAGTTCTGGAAGGTTGTTAGTGGCATTTGCCTCCTCACCATAGGAAAGGGTAGGTGATTGCTGGAAGCTGGAGCTCTTGACAGGAGTTATTGCTGTGACTTAAGATAGAATGGGCCTCTCTCATCTACCGAAGACAGCAAGGAAAGGAGAAGTGTGAGCCTGCACTTCAAATCCTTTCACACCTTCCCAGCCTTTCCTGGTGAGTGAGTGTTCTTCAGGGTTCTGAACAGGCAGAACTGGCTGCTTCCCACGTGAGCCTCTATAAGGTGTAGCCAGGCTCCGAGTGGTATTTTCAGAGTGCTCAAGGACATCTGCATCCTAGCCAAGCAGGATCAAGCGGCCTTAACGAGTTCCAGAGTCATCAAAGCCATCTGAAAACAAATTCTGCCTTGAAATGAATCACAGTCTGACATTTGTTTATGATCAAGTTCCTAATGGGGATAACTGAAAGGACTACATGTTGGGAAAAGAGGGACTACTCTGTTTGAACTTAAAACACTTCTAAAGAAGTGCATGTACTGCACACTCCAGGGTTAACATGCACAGACCAAAGAGGTTCCAGAAAAAATTTCAACAATGTAATATTAAATCTGTACAAATCGTCCGAGTGTTTAAAATTGCTGTGGCAAATGCAATATGGGGCTTATTTACATGTGAGGCTTACAAGAAGCTCATGATGACTTCCTTTCCACAGCAATTAAGAGAGCACAGCATGCTGAAGAGTTGACAAGGCATGAACAGTGGAGCATTGCCCGGCCCTCGTAGGTAAAGGGCATGATCCAGCCACTTTGAAACCCTACTGGTTTCCATGGGCGAGATCTAAGGGCATGCAACACTCTCCCCTTGAAAACAGGAGGGATTTATTTATTTATTATTCTCTGAAACAGGGACTCAAAGTGGCCTGCAACATGGTGGAATACACCGAAAACTGTAGAAGCAAAAAATTCAAAGCAAAACAGCACCACCAAGATCCAGAAGCATTTCTCTAGCCTCCCTCAGAAACTCATCTGAATACAGCATCTCTTAAAAAGGAGGAAATAAAGCACCTTTCTAAGATTGCATTTTAAAAGGCATTGATTTGGCTTGGCTCATTTTTCTAAGCCTAAAGCATCAGTATTACACCCTGAATCACAGGGGAACTGTTCTCCTTATGACCCCCCCCCCTCAGTTGGACGTGGTCATCATCTCGTGGCCTACTTGAATGAGGCCTCCCAATAATGAAACTGCTGCCTTTGGGTTGCATGTTTGGCATCCACCAGGGTAAGGGCTTTATCAATGACAGCCCTCTCACATGAGACCTGGGCACTACAGGACCTTCCTAGGTTCTGCAGAGCCTGTAAACCTGAGTTTTTCATCAGGCCTTTCCCAGGTGACCTTATTTCTGGGGCTTAATACTGGATCCACTGTTATCAGTTGTGAGTTTGATTTTTTTATACTTGTATTTTTATACTGTTTTAATTATATTTATTATTTTTGTTTTATATTGTTGTGAACCCTCCAAGCCCCACTTTGTCAGGAATGGGAGATATGGATGGATGGATGGATGGATGGATGGAAGGAAGGAAGGAAGGAAGGAAGGAAGGAAGGAAGGAAGGAAGGAAGGAAGGAAGGGCCATTTCAGGCTAATCCTTTTACTGGAGTCTGAATGAATGAGTTGACTCTCTAGTGTTTCATTGCATAATAATGAAAACAGGGGCACCAGTGAAAGGAAGTCAAAATAGGCAATGGTGTAAAAAAACAAATGAATCAATCATTAGCTCAAATCAAGTGTTTCATGATGACATATTTTACATCATGACCACTGGTTAGTACTTAGTTCATGTCTCTGCAGTATGATTATCTATTAGTCATGCTCTGGAATGATTTTGAACAAGGACATACCCACACAGAGAATTTTTCAGGGATCCAGTCATCTTTCCTAGAACATCCAGGTCCCCCAGAAGACACAAAGTATTGGTCTTTAGCCTATATGCATCCACCAGAACTGGCACACTGAAGCACCACCACACAAAGATAAGCAAGATAAGCCATGTTCACCTGGTAAATTGTATCTTCTCATACCACAACAATCTTGCTTTTGAAGAATTTCTTTCTGTGATCACAATTTGTACCTACTTACAGCTGGTGGCTAGAATCTTTTTTTCTACCTCAGTAAGATTACAATAAGTTAGCTATTGAGGCAATCACGATCACACTTGGAAGGTGAAGCACAGTTGATCACTTGCCTAGTTAAAAAATGTCTTCCAAAACATCTTCACTGTACATGTGTCTGATGTAGATTGCCTATTTTTTCCCCCTGTGACTCATTAGGGTGAATCAAACTGGCATAACTGGAGTAGCCAGAAACCTAGAAGGTTATGCAAATAGCAAAAGTTTTGCAAAATCATCAAAAATATTAGTAATGAGTATGATTTCATGCTATGTGTCATGAGTAAAAACTCTTGCAGAAGTCTAATCAGAACTTATTTTGATTCTCTTGAAAAGAATTCAAGTGTCTAAGGAAAAAAACCTAATTTCACCCCCATTTCACTCCAGGTGAAATTCTTTATTTGAAATATTTGTCACCTTTCCATCAAAACTACTTTAGGCAGCTCACAATTACAGTAAAGCACAAATATAATCACAAATATTACAATGTTTAAAATATTAAACCAATAAAAGTTTAAAATAAATTTACAGTATTTAAAGCTGGCTAGGAATCTAATTTGAAAAGACCCTCCAAAATTTGTAAGAGTCTTCAAATGACATCAGAAGACCTATAGTGAGGAGGCCAACATAGTTCCTACAGGAGGACGTCCCAAAGAGTAGGGGTGACTCTCAGAAGGTCCCCATCGGACCTCTCTCCCTAATTGTGGGTCCCTGGGTAGTGTCTCCTTAGATCATCTCAAATACAGGCAGGGTCAGCCTTTCAGGTATCTTGGGGAAGAAAGCAGTTCAGTGCTTTAAAGTGCAATTCTAGCACTTTGTACTGACTGAGCCTGGAAATAAACTGGGAGCCAGTGTAAATGACAGAAAATAGGTGCCGTGTGCTCATTCTGTCAAGTTCTCATGAGCAAAATGGTTGTCACAAACTTGTCACAACACAAAGTTGAAGTTACCAGAGTGTCTTCAAAAGCTCACATACAGCTTAGAGCTCAGCTCATTATAGTTGGCCAACCTAGATGTTAAAAAAGTACATGTAACTGTGGCCAAGTTTTTCTTCTCCATGATGGACAGTCTAGCCTAAGTTAATTTAAGGATACGCAGAATCCCCTGAGAAATTCTGCTGGTCTTCTCAAAACTCTTTTGACATTTCATGGAATCCCTTATAACAGACACCCCAACATATTTTAATGCAAATAACTAAAACGGCGCCCTCTCAATTGCAGTAAAAATATTTCAGTTAGATGATCCAGGGCTCTCCTTCCACAAGCAAAAGGGAACTTCCACTTGCACAATACGGAAGACATTGTTCCCACTGCAGACTCCCATACCATACAGTACACGGTTCTCAGGCTAAGAGCTCAGGGCACTTCACTAGGAAGGGGAGAAGGGGAGAACAATCTATTCCATGAGGATGTTCGGAGCCAGCCACATTTGAGAATTATTGGGTTCAGAAAAAACAAGAGTAGGTTTTTATATCCAACTTTTCTCTACCTTAAGAAGGAGCAGAGCGGCTTTCCTCTTCCCACAATAGGCACCTTGTGAGATAAGTGGGGCTGAGAGAATTCTGAGAGAACTGTGACAGGCCCAAGGTCACCCTGCAGGCTTCACATAGAGGAGTGGGGATGGGGAATCAAACCTGCTTCTTCAGATCAGGGGCCGCCGCTCTTAACCACTACACCATTCTGGAAGTTATTGGGGGGGGGGGTTGTAAACATTGTGGATGAACCAAGTCTTGGCAATGAGTCAAGGAGAATGTATTCATCATTGTAAAAGCCTTTCAAGCTAAGCAGGTGCAGGCCTGACCTTGAATGAAAGCTATCTTAAGTACTTTTTGTTGCCATAAAGGCAGAATTCAAACATAGGCTTTGATTCTGCCTAAAATTTCTGAGGTGTGATTTTCACTGATTCCCACTCAGGAACAGCATTTGGGGACATTTTGTGCTGCAGCAGGAGGGAGGAAGCGGGGAAGTTTTTTTGAGTTGCCAGCTTCTACTAATACGACAGATCTCCAGATGACAGAAATCAATTCCCCTGGAGAAAATGGCTGCTTTGGAATGTGGACTCTAT